CGCGTTAAGTACTTTTTTAGGGGTCACTCGTTTCTAACTCACACAACTCACACAAATCACCTCAACTTTCAACAAATAAGTCAAAAATTTTATTATACATTCTTTTTGTTTTTTATTTTTTTTGGCTTACCATTTTATGTACTTTGGGCATTAAATAAAAATCCTAGCGGAATCGACGCCAAAAAGCTCATTTGCATGCGAGTGTCCACTGAAGGTGGAAAAATAAGGGACAAAATTCAAAAAATATAAAAAAAAAATTAAAATAAATAAACAAAAAAGAATAATTTATAATAAAATATGCATGAAAAAGTGTAAAAAATCCAATTATTATTTATGTGTCGAGATTTTCGCTTATAAATATAATATTACTCTCTTGAGTACACCTTTCTGTCATTCGCGTGAAATAAATTATTTGCAGCTTGATGTAGAAGTACTCTGAACATCTTAAAATTTCAAAATTCCAAGTAAATTCTTTTATTTAAAAGTAAAGTCAGGGTAATTTAAAATTATAGAAAATAGGAGTGTCAATCCCTCCGAGTGTATTTCTGACATGAAATATAAACTGTAGGTCCCTCCCTTTGTTGGAAAGACATCAAGACGATTGGTCGGCAAACGATTCATCGTCTATTGCATATATATTAATATAGATACACTATTAAATGACACCATAAAATAAGTAGATTCCTTAGATGAATAGACGTACTTAAGTAAAGGAAGTTTGAGAGCTACATATTCTCGAGTAAATGCGGCTTCTATAATTTTTCGCCAAATACCAATGATCTTAAATTTGCCATGTTCTCGACGATTGAGGGAGAGCAAAAATGAATTGCTATATTGGGACATGTCTTTATACCTTCTAGAGCCTAATAAAAATTATTGCTAAATACAATTTTCGATTTCAATGATTTTCAGAGTAAAAATTAATTTTAAAATTTTACAATTTTTCTTCGATTTTTTTTTAAATAAAAATTATTTTTTGTAGCTTAAATATAGTACGTTATTGTCTGAAAATTTCATTACCGCAATAATTTTTTTCTTAAAAACAGTTGGTGAAAAACACATTTTTTTGGGTTCTAAAGGAGACTGACTTCAGCAGAGACTTGATGAGAAAGTATTTTCAGGTAGAGTTACCAACTGCTGAAATATTTAATTTAAAATAAATAATAAAGTATGCTGTACATTAAGCATTAACCTACTATTTGGGTTGCAGAATAAAAAGATTTAATAAATTTAATACTAAGGAAACTTTTTAGGAGAGTTTCGATTTGTTTTAAATTTTGTTTATTGAATTAAAATTTACCTTACAGTTAAAATTAACTGTTATATATATGGTATTGAGGAAAAGCGTGTTTGAAAGGTTTATAGTGGTGAATGACGTTGAAGAATTTTAATTTATTAACTATAATAATATTAACTATAATAATATTGTTAATATAAACTGTATTATTGGTAATACGCTGATCTTAAAAAAAAACAAACTGTTGCAAAAATTGTTTTAAAATGACTTGACACCTCTTTGAACATTTTTATTTCAATTATGGATATCACGAATATCAATATTATGGGTTTCAAAGTAGTGAGGCTTCAGTGGGGGCATTGGAAGCAGAAAATTTTAAAGCAAGTAATTTTGACATTTTCAATATATTTTTAAATATGTATACATACTTGCCACAGGCTTGAAAAGTTTCTTTTGCGACCGCTTAGAATGACTGCAAATTTGGGACCTGAATCAGCCAAAGGGCAGAAGCCGAAATAATTGCAATGGAGCATAAAATATCGTTCGATAAAACCTGATGGTGTTGCTTACCAGGAGGTACAAATCACATGCCTTTAAACCACCTAAAATTAAGGGTATCTCCAGGCCCTCTCTCTCCAGAAGTCAAATACCTTGGGATAATCTTAGATAGCAAACTAAACTGGGGCCGGAACTCGGCAGAAAAATCAAGGAAAGCTATGACTCCACTCTACGCCTGCAAAACGGCGACGGTTTAAGACCGAGTATCGAGGATTGGATATACACATCGGTAGTTAGAGCAATCCAACTCTGCGGGGTCACCGCCTGGTGGCTGTCACTCGATAAAATCACCTTCATTAGCAAATTAGAGAGAGTTCAACGATCGACTGCTATCGTGTTACAATATGTTGCTTACTCTTCTCAACATCCTTCCTCTGGACCTGTACGGGAAACTACTAAACTAGGGTTGTTGCTTAACCTTGGAAGATTTACAGTATAGGACATACCAAAAGTATTATCTCTAGCAGAAATGCCAAAGGAGCAACGACTACATCACCTCCTGCATGTGCTTTGAAAATCGCTTCTTCACAAGAATCCTAAACAGATGCGAGTGGAAAAATACCAACGCCCATGACCAGGGAGCATTAGCTATCTTCACAGGCGGCTCGAAGCTCGATGGGAGGGTGGGTTGCAGAATTTATTCTTCCGTGCTTTCAGTAAGCATGATTGCAGCGATTTCCAGGCGGAGGCCACATAATGGATCTCTTAAATGTAACGGTACAAAGTCAAAAATGGCCATAAACTGTAGAAACACTCAAAAACTCTAAACAAACTCTCAACGAAGACTTCCGTGGTCTGGGTATCTGGACACAGGGATATTTGAGGCGATTGCGAGGGAGGGAGTCCTTCTATCTACGACAAAATGCTTACATGATGCTAGCTTGATGGCCTTCACGAAGAAAGCTGATTCACGATGGTTGAACGAGATCACGAGTAACGTGACCAGATAGCTATGTTGGAGGCGAAAAAATTTAAACATCTTATTCTTCCGGACCGGTTATCCATTAATACAACGACTGGTATAATAACTGGACACTGTTTAATGGGGATTCAAGGGATAAGGATGGGCTTTTACTCTAACGATTTCTGCCGCGGCTATATGGACGAAGAAGAGGAGGAGACCATCGTGCACTACCTCTGCCACTGTCCAGCCTTGACATCCGCGCGACAAAAGTTTCTTATTCTTCGATTGTCTCGTTGAGTTGACCTTAGTGAACATTGGAAATCTCTAGTGAACACGAAATCGTTCGATCATGTGAGAAGGTGAAGGAAGGAGCCTAAGCGGTATCACAATGGGCCTGTTACCCTTAATGTGCTGGGGTTGACTAGCAGCCGCATCAACTCAACTCTCAACTCGTAAAACCGATCAATCAAATGATTTACGATATACGAAAACAGATTTTTTAAACTTTAATATATAAAAATTCAATTTGTAGTGAAACACACCGATATGGTGCTAATAATAATAAAACGAAAATAAAAAAAAAACGCTTAGCAATTTTTTGTTGAATTTCAAAAAAGAAACAAATGTTAGCTAGAAAAATTTTATTTTTTACTTTCTGCTGGTACTATCATTGGTTTTAACACATTTTGCTGCTCACACAGTACACAGTAGAGCTGAAAAGTGATTTATTTTTTACTTGATCACTTTTTCCATTTTCCACTTTCAGGTAGCAAAATGAATTATTTAGGACATTTTAATCCCCTTGACTCCACATATTTTCTCTTTTTTTCAATTTTCAATTCAATACCCAAGGTTAAGTGTGTTTTTGCTGCCCTCGAAAGGTGCAAGAACTTTGCCCATTGGCAAGAAAAACATACATTTTAAGGTACATGCCTAAACTTATATATAAGTATGTGTGTATATGCTCAGAAATGTATGCATAAGATATGACATTTTGACGCGTTCTAATGCTAAAAACTTGCCAGCTGCAATGATATGCATACACCACCCACTAGAAAGCCTTAAGGAATTCACTAAAAATATTTCCGTTCAGTTTTCTTTATTTCTTCAATGCCATCGATTAAGCTTGAGAGCTGCAGGATGTGAATTTTTAAATTTCTTTTTTTCGTGTAGAATATTTTCAAACTTTGCTTTCATTTTGTGCTATCGCAGGGGATTTTTTATTTGTAATATTTTTTTTCCTTTTATTTTTTTTGGATTAATGTTTGGCATATGAATGCATTAAGACATCGCTCAATATAGTTTAGTTATAAATGTGGCATTGAAAGACGAACGGCGAGGGGGGAAATTAGAAAAATTTTCGCTGTCAACTTTGCATACAAATTCATACTCATTATCGCGGTAAATTTAACTTGAGCTGGCTTTAAGCAGGCACTCACATTGATAGACACACGTATACATTTATGTACATATATATATCTATGTATATACAGCAAGACTTTTGCAAGATATTTTCGTTTTCTGCTGCATTCATCAACGTTCATTTATTCATCATCATCACCATGAACACTTCGTTGACAATTGGAATTGTGCATTGAATTTGAATTTGAATTTGATTTGGTGATATTCCCATCATGAATTCCAATGCGTTAAGTTTTCAAACAAACGCTGTATGTAAATATGTATGAGCGCGTCGAATGACAGCTTGTGAAATAAACGAAAAAATTTCGCGAGTCTTAACATTTTATTTTCGATTATCGCTCTCGGTTTTTACACACTTTATTGTTGTTGTTATTATTATTTGTGTTGTCATTTTTGTTGTCATTTTTGTTCTAGTTTCAAAAATACGCAGGAGATGGCAATGAAATGATGCAAATGACAGATATTTTAGCACTTCTGTTTTGCAAATTGGCATTCGGACGAACTGAAATTATGGGCGAAAGGCGTTGCAGAAAGAATCCTGGCGAAAAAAGATGTCCTGAATGTAGCGAAATATAAAAATTTGAATTGTTGGTTGCGATTTTATACTCACAACGTATTGTAAATAGTGTTTATTTTTGATTAGTGCTGACAAAGTGACAATCTAAAAGCTTGCAAAATTTTATGATTCCTGCGGGGTTGACTTTCTCAGCTGCGAGTTTTAAGCCAGGAAAGAATTTTTATTGTCAAAAAGAAAATTCATCATCTTTGCATTTCATTAAATATTCTAATAAAACACTTTGTGTTCCTAAAACAAAATAAAAATATACTTAAGAAGGTTAAAGAAGAAGATTATAATAACGGGTTTAATTTTAATTTCAGATTGGGTGAAGAAAAGGATCGTCCGAAAAAGGGTTCATTACGTGTGGCTAATTGATTTCGGTAAGTGTGATAAAAATTTGCATTTTATGATGATTTACATTTATTTAGTGCCAAAAAAGAAGTGGCGACTTTGTCTACTTACAGTGAACTCATTAACTTACCAAGAAAAAAAAAATGGAGATGAAATTAAAAACTTTAAAATTTTTTATTTTACAAACAGAGAGTCTTAAAATGCCTTTACTGTACTTTCTTTGCTACTGAAAATATTTTGGAGCAACAACGCGACAGCACACGATATGAAGAACCAATGGTTCAAATGCTAATAACTCGCCGACCAGTGAAAGCGAAATCTAAGCACATTCCGCTTTCTATTTCAAAATCGTAAGTTTTGAACCGTTAAAACAAAAAATATTTAAAAAACTTTACCACAGCGGCATCTAGGTGTTCAATAGCTTCACAACTCGATCCTTGCGCCATCTGAATGACTAGAGCATATAGTAGATAAATTTTGGTCTTTATTTTTACTAAATGCCTAGTTGAAATTATGACTTTAGGTTATGCGCTGAATCTGGGATTCGTCACAAAAAAATTAAATATAACAACAAATAAACAATGATGTCGTATGACAAAGTCAAAGTTAAAAGGCACAATTAGCAAAGGAGGCATCAGCGACACAACAACAGCTGGAATATTCAGCCTCCACGACGAAACATCTCCACACGTGCTGAGGCTGGCCGTCTTCAACCGGCAACGAAATGTTGATGTCTGTAGCATCAGATGTCGGCACCAAAAATTCTTTATTCGACTTACACTCCTGTTCTCTTAGGGCGCTTATTAGCAATTCGGTTTAAGGGAACTGTGGGACGCCAGTTCAAGCTCCTTACGTTTAACCGCCACCGAAACTAATGGTTTTAGATTAAGTCGAAAATAACTGGTTAAATGAGAAACGCCGTGTCGCAGTGGGTATCGCACAGCACGATATTTGGGAATAATACCGAAAATTAAAGAGGGCTGGCAAACGCCGTTGCAGAAAGAAACGTTAAAGAAATATTGTCTTCGTACTTCCCGAAACCTTCTTACCTTTCATGATCAATGTAAATTTTAGTTTTTTTTTTTTATTTCAAGATTCAATATTAATTTTTATATTTCAAGATATCTGTTGTATAGGTCCGATATTGATGAATTTTAGTATCAACGATTTTTTAGCGAGCTTATAATACAAAGTTTTATGCTTTTTTCAGAATTTTTTGACTCAAAATCTTAAATCTGTAATGACGCTATATTTTGTAATAGTGCCTTTAAACAATTTTTCATCAAATTTAATGTAAATGAACAAATGATTTAATATTCGGTTTTAGCTCCACCTGTACTTCACCAGAGTATTCTTATTCTTAAAAATTCCGCTCAAATATATTTAAGCGATTTAAAAAGTCTTGAAAATTCCATTCATATTTTTTTCTTAGTTTAAATTCATATTTAGAGATTGCTCGTTTTTATAACTCGTTGAAGGATTTTCTCGAATGAAAAATGAGCAGCAAAATTCTTTCAATATGCAGGGCTTCGAGCAAGAAAAATAAGCTCATGATTTACATATTTTTTTTTAGATATTTGTATGTAGATATCAGCAATAAATTGGTTATGTTAATACATGTATATGCGTTATGAATGGCATATATACATATGAGTATTGTGTATACAATATATATAGAGCATAATAAATATAAATATTATTTACTGTAATCGAGCTTTGTTGAAGAGTTCAATCATGAAAAATTCATAAGAGCTAAAGCTGCATTGTGTAATCTTACATGAAATGTACGCTTGCATAAACATACATACGTACGTATGCGTTCCGACATATGCAGATTAGGGGGTAAAGCCACTGGAGAAGTTGCAAAATAGAATAAGTTTTTTAAATTTTCTTGTAGGAATATGGGAAAAGGATTCGAATTTCTATTTAACCATTTCATTAAACATTTATTGAAATTAAAAAAAAATGTGCATTAAATTTTATTTTGTTACAAAATGGCGGTGATAAAGACCATTATTGAATTCATGTTCTTCGAATGGCATCCACGGGAGTACCAATTTCTTCTAAAGCATGCGACCTTAAACAGAAAAGCAAGAAAAATATGGTCTTTGGAAGTACGTCCGGATTTGTGATTTGTGAGTGGCATATTTTTTTAGAAGAATTGATTTTTGACTAAAAAATATGCACAAAATTATTAAAAAAAATATTAAATTTAATTGAAAAACCACTACGTACTTTCAATAAAATGTATTTGAGAAGCTACCATCGAAATTTCAAGTAAATCGATGCAATAGAGTCCGAATAATCTGTCCTCCCAGTCTGAAAAATGCGAGAGCTGCAGCAAAATAAAAAATTCAGGTACTTGAAAAAGGTATTTAAAACCAATTGCTTATCATTTCTAGTACCCAAAGCTAGTCTGTGAGCGAAAAAAAGAGTTGAGCTTTAAAAAACCCTATAGTGGCTTTATCCCTCAAGGGGTTACATTGGCCTGAAGGCAAAAAAAAGCTTTTTTTTCTCTAATTTTTTTTAGAAGATACTAAAAAAAAGTATACGACTGATTTTATTAACATATAAATGTACAATATGTGTACAACATTTGGTGTAAATTTGAATGAAAAAGTTTACAAGTTAAGGTTTTGGCAGTATCGTGAAATAGACCGTCCACAAGAAAATGCTTTGGCGGTAGTCATGATAACTTTTCCAACTTTTATCTGAAATCAAAAACCAAACTCTTTCCTTAAGTATGTGAATTTTCCATGTTTCTGAATGAAGAAAAAATAAAAAAAAATTATAAATTAAATTTTTTGTAGTGTTTTTTACATAAAATTGGGCCAAAAAAATTGGCTTGAAAAATGAGTTGAAATCTAAGTATAAATAAATCCGTCGTTCAAGGATTACAAAAATATGCTTAAAGAAAGTGTGGAAAATTTAAACACGATCGCTTCGAATAGTCGTTGAGAAATTTTGCCTACCGATTTCGATAAAGTGGTTTTAAGAAAAATGCGTTTAGGCTTTCGCCATCGGTCAACGGCGACGGGCTATAAACTCTGCCATTTCTTCAGTTTCATATCAATCGACTTGAAACTTAGGGAAATCATTCCTGACACTTTGTACTTTTATATCAAGAGCTATGTAACCCCCTAATATAAAGCAACGAGCCTATAGATATATATATATTTATATATATATAATTATATAATATTAATGAGCTTGCGTATGACGGCTGCATGAAGTTTCCTGAGCAGCAAAATGTGGCTAAATTCGTTGCAAAGTTACTGAGTTCGCTCTTCATGACAGATTTTTTTTGCCTATAACGACAAATGTATTATTTTTGTTAAACATATATGTATGTATGTACTTACATGCATTAAATTCTATATATATATTACTTATATAAATATTTTCACATATATTTTCAATGAATTATATACTCCTATTTGTATTTTTGATATTCTTTTCTTCTTCTTTACACACAATGCAGAGTGGTCTATGTGTGTTTATGTGTTTGTGCGTTTGCTAGTGCCTTTGATCTGAATGCATTCAAGCGCAGTGAAATGCGTGTAAGAAAGTGCCGCTCGCTCACCCACTTAGGATATACATATATATGTATATGTCGTACTTACTTGAGTGAATTGTCAGCTTATTGAAGTGGAAGCGGAACTCGAGCACTCTGCATAACTATCACATAACCCAAAAAATGTGTAGATAATATGTATGTGTGTGAGCATATTTGAGCACGTAGTTAAGTAAGTAAATGAATATAAAATTTAAAAAATAGCTACCCAGAAAGCATTTTGAGTTCGCTTTTGTATGAGTTAGAAATAAATTAAATTTATTATTTTTTATAAGCCATAACATTAAATGCAAAACTGGATATTCAGTCTTTCTAAATGAAAGAAACACATTAGAACAAGCCCAAGCGACGTTCGGTAGAATTTTGTTTGATAACAGATTTTGTGTTTCCATAATATGGCCAACAGAGAATGGTAATCTGACCTGTTCAAGTGGATTACTACTTCTTAAAGGCCAATACTGACGTAGCTTGTGCATATGTTGCGGCATTTTACCCAACATAGGAATATTTCCACCTTAGCAAAGTATAGCCTAAAACTCGTAAGAATCATAAATATTGATCCCCGAATCAATCAGAGTTAATGTATGCCTTGGCACTTCAAAAAAATCAAAACATATCTAATTGATTTCGAGCAACTTTCTCTTAAAATTCATTATTTTTTCCAAATATTATTGGAATTAAAAGAATTGAGACTTACAGGACTATAAATATTGCTTTTGAAAAATTCACCATCAAACTTTTTACAAAACTTAATTGTTTTATAATTAGCGCTTTGCTAAAGCGATTTTCGGTCGAGCTCCTCCTCCAAAATGTGTTATGCTTTACGATGGTTTTTTCAAGAGGACCCTTTATATCATGTCAGAATAAATTCCCTGATGTACCTGGATTTGAACACTGGCCCTCCGAATGGCAGTACGCAATGCCATCCACTCGACTACTGCGGCCTAAATTCCAATCGTCGTCAAAAATCTCTTTGGAATTTTCTCTAATGAATTCGACATTTTAAAAAATAATTTTAGAATTGACGCACTCTTAAAGGAAATTAGGGTATTCCAATAACAGTTGTTATTTTGATATTCATCGAAAAATTACAATTTTTGAATTAAATGATGGCAGATATTTCATATCGTTGAGTTCGAAAAAATCATGGAATCCAGATGACATACTTCTTTTATGATGAGGCAATAATAGACGGCACTTGGTTGGCAAGCCCTAAATAATGCACCACATATCCGGGACCTTGCGCCATCTCACTATAACTTTTTGTGGTCTTTTCAAAACTACCTTGATGGGGAAAAATACCGAAAAATCGCTTATTTAAATCAGACCAAGATATATATTTTTATATTATAAATATTGAGATATTTCGTAAATTCGCATTAATCTGGGTCGAATGTGAATCATTGAGGGCCGTGGTCTCGAAATGTCGCTTCTTGTTACAAATAAATGCC